ATCTTATACCATAACTATAATAAGGAACGCCCAAAACCCTATTCTAATTATTTAAGGCCCCTGCCTACATTAACAAGAAGCCTAAACCCTAAACCCTAAACCCTAAACCCTAAACCCTAAACCCTAAACCCCTAAACCCTAATCGAGAGGCACAAACTGGAGCTCTCGCGCGACCGCTTCCGAGATTTGGCCTGGCGTTGGCTTTGGGAAGAACTCCGAGGTCTCAGCGTTTTCTGGAGTTTTTTAGGGTTTAGGAATGTTAGGGTTTTTCGGGTTTTTTGGTGTTTAGGAGATTTTTAGGGTTTAGGAATTTTAGGGTTTTTCGGTGTTGTTTTTTAGTTTTTAGGAATTTTTTAGGGTTTAAGAATTTTAGGGTTTTTTTCTGGTTTTTGTGTGTTTAGGGATTTTTAGGGTTTAGGAATTTTAAAATTTTTAGGGTTTGGGGTTTAGGATTTTTTGGGGTTTGTAGGGTTTAGGATCGTTTTAAGGCTTAAGGTTTAGGATTTTTTAGGGCTTGTAGGGTTTAGGATCTTTTGTTTAGGGTTTAGGACTTTTGGGGTTCAGGGTTTAGGGTTTAGGATTCAGTGTTTAGGGTTTAGGAATTTTAAGGTTTTTAGCCCTCACAGACGCTGCGGAGCCTTCATCCGAAGCAGCTCCCTCGTCGCTGCTGTTGCCAAGGCGGCGGCGGACCGGAGCCGCCCAGAGGTTGAACTGGAGGGTTTAGGGTTTAGGGCTCAGGGTTTGGAGCCCAAAAACCCGGGCGTTGGGTTGAAGGCGCAGTGTTTTGCAGGATCCTATGAAAGTTCTTATACAGCGAATCCCAGAAAGCGGGAACATGGAGTTAGGATGATTAGTGCTGGGATCCCCTTTGCTTTGCCTTGAAGGCATTAGGATAATGATGGTTCCAACTTTCTGGCTTCCACTTTGAGGCATGTTCAAAACCAACCCATGACCGGTATGGAACCTGCTTAGAACCCTAAACCCTAAACCCTAAACCCTAAATTTAGAACCCGTAAGATAAAACCCCCCAAGGGACATGGAGGCTCCAGGGCTCTCGGAGCTCAGGCTCGGAGTCTAATGTCCTGTGGTGTCTTGTCTTTTTTTTCGCGGCTCCTTTGCCTCCCTGTTACAGTGGGAATACCACTATGGTTGAAAGTGGGCTTCAGGGTTCGAGTCTGGGGGTTTACGGGCTTAGGATTTGCATTTTTGGGTTTGGAAGTTGCATCTGGGCTTAGCTAGGGCCATAGGGTTGGCTAGGCAAGGGGCAGTAGGACTTGGGCCTAGGGTCGGGTTCAGGGTTTCAGGCTGTGGAATTAGAGCTTCGGATTTGAAGATGTCCTTTAGGTCACGTGTTAGGATTCGTCATCGGAGGTCCCTGGTCAGCTGAGGGACGATCATGTACGGCTCGAGCCCGTTGCCCGCAAATTCTAGGATCGTCTCCTGCGGGTCCAGGAGGAATCGGAGGAATGGTATGGCAGGCATCGAAGCGTCAGCAATACAAAAATACGGAAGAAACAAGGAACATAATGGCTGTATCCGCAAAAAAAACGGCAGCAGAAGCAGCTGTTTCCGTAGACCTCGCCGTCGTCGATGCCCGCTAGTGCTGCTACCACTACTAGCACTACTAGCACTACTGGCACTACTGGCACTACTGGCAGCACTGGCACTACTACCAGCATTACCACCACCGCCACCTGCACCAGCACTACCACCAGCACCAGCACCACCAAAATCGCCACCACTTCCACTCCCACTCCCACTACCGCTACCACTACCACTTCTACTGCCACTACCAGCACTGCTGGTACTGCTAGTGCTACTAGTAGGACTAGAACTACTTGTACTACTCGTACCATTGCTGCTGCTACTACTACTACTACTACCACTACCAATACCACTACCACTACCACGACCACGACCACCACTACCACTACTGCTGCTGCTTCTGCTACCACCACCATCACCACCACCACCACCATCCATCACCACCACCACCACCACCACCACCACCAAGACGACGACGACGACGACGACTACTACTGCTACTACTACTACTACTGACGCTACTGCTGATGCTAATGCAATTGCAAATGAAAATGCTACTGCTACTGCTGAAACGAACACTAATACTACTACAGTACTAATGCAATACTAACACAATACAATGAAAAGCAATACTACTACTGCTCCTCCTCCTCCTCCTACTACTACTACTACTACTACTACTACTAGTACTACTACTGCTACTACTCCTACTCCTACTACTCCTACTCCTACTACTCCTACTCCTACTCCTACTACTCCTACTCCTACTACTCCTACTCCTCCTACTCCTACTCCTACTCCTACTCCTCCTACTCCTACTCCTACTCCTAC